ACACATCTTGGCGCCAACACATTAAAAGCCAAAAGGGCTAGTCCCGTTTCCATTCCCTTCCTGAATCCGAACTGGGTATTCGGAACTTAATATTTTTTTGTAGAGTATTTACTATAATATTTTCAGGAAGATTGTGCTGAAGTTAATGTTCTGTATTGTGAACATCCTCTTGGTGTGTTTTCTTTAGAAACAAAAATACAAAATAGATACAGATATAGTCTATTTTTAAAAATGTTAAAACTAGTTGCCGATGTGGTGTCTGGATCCAAATTACTTTACATATTAAATATTCTGTTTGACAAAAACTACACTCTGTACCTTGCTGTCATCAATTCCTGCTTTAATTGGTTGATGGCCTCTTAATCTTTGGTCCTGATTTTAAGTTAATATGATGTTAAGGTTCCCAAAATTATATTTTAAAATGCGGAAGGACATGTTTAGGTCGCTTTGAAGACGTCCATGTTTAAATGTTGTTGGATGAGCCATAACACAAGATGCCGAGAAGATCGAAGTCGGCAACTGGAAAATACCAGCAAGGGACAGAACAGAATAACGTAGAAAGTTTTAGAAGGTCGAGGCCCTCTAAGGGTTGTAGCACCAAGATGATGAGGATGAGCCATGGAGAGTATGTCTTCATAATTAGATCTCACTTGCCCGAATGCCAGTCTTGTTTCTTCACGCTGAACATTTTCAAGTAAATTTTTATTGCGACTGAGATCTGATCTTCACATCTTATACGTGTTGAGTATTAACGGATCAGAAACAGTTGCGAGTGCATGTTTACTTACCAACATTATGTGATCAGAGCAATTTAAGTCACTATTATCACTCCAAGATCATGGTGGAAGGTTACTGATTTTGTGAGATGTTCATTATTAAATAATGAGATTTGCGTATAATTTGGTATCATCGTCGTAAGTGATAACCTTACTGGATACATGAGCGGAAGATCACTAGTATAAATACAAAAGAGTAGTGCTCCAAATACTGATCCTTGTGGGACTTGACTGGTTTGTCTAGTGATTAGATTAGTCCGTCTAATCCAGGTGATTAATTATTGCTTAGTTTCCATAAATGATGTTTAATTGAATCCGGTGAAAGAGATATTATCAACACATTGATAAAGTGATAAAGGGATTGCCAGTCTATCTTGATGAAACAGAATTAACTTTAAATAAATCTTTACTGACATACGTTACGAAATTATTTTTGCAAAGCGGTGTTAAACTTAATTAAATGTAAGCAGTGATAAGTGAGTGGTCAGAAAGACCCACAGAAGGGGGCACACCAAGTGTAGAAATCAATTGATTAAGTTTTGTGAAAAATAGGTCTAAAATCGAAGGATGATTGTTGGTTCTAAATTCTGTAGGTTCAGGTATTAGTCAAATAAAATTTCAGGTCACAATAAAGTATTTAAACAAACTTTGAGAATTTTTTTTATTGGGTTAATGCCTCGACAACTATGATCATTGGCATGGTACAGTCAGGTACCTAGTGTAGTGTGTGTGTGTATATATGTGTGTGTGTGTGTGTGTGTAGAGTAATTGTCTTGATACTTAGCAAAGTCGACGTCATTGTCTTTGCTAAGAGACGCTAATTGTATCCGAACGTCTGCGGTCCCTCTGGTGATTACCGATCGCACAAGGATAGAAATTATTTTCATTTATTAATTTTTAATAAACGAAAATTTCTTGACCCAGATGAGATTCGAACTTTGAGAATTGATAGTATTAGTTTTGGAAATAATGAGCGAGCTAATCTCTTGAAAATTGAAACCTCTAACAAGAATGAGATTATTAAGGGTTGATAATTCCTCAAGTTTGTCATTAAGCATATTATCCTGAGTAAGAAGTGTATCCGAAGGTCGGTATATGCAAACGGTATTAAATGTAAAAGAGTTATTGGTAATAAGTAAGTGGATAATCTCTATAATTGGAACGTCTATTGTTTTATTACTGATAGAATAGTAATAATTTTATAGAAGTATTAGTAATTTCATTTGCTAAATACATGCACATATCTTCTCCTCGACAAGCACTTCTGTCTCTATGTCTCTACGAAATATAGTACAATTATCAATGTCTTCATCGGGGAAAGAAGAATTAAGCACACTTTCTTTTTTAAGCATCTCTGCTTGTCTCTCACCTTCCTTGTAGTACTATCAAATACTTTTTCTAAGTTAACAAGGGCTTGGTATAACTAAGTGATTGAATTGTGTGCGTTTTGTATTAATTTTTTGATAGTAAAAATGTCGTCTTGAATACATCTTCTTTTCTGAATTCAGTCTATGATTGTTCCAGTTAAGTATCAACTTCTTGTAAAATACGTTTCTCTAATATTCTTCCGGTAAACTTTGGATGGGATATTCAGTAGTGTTATACCTCTGTAGTTACTACATTCTCGTTTCTCTCCGTTTTTGAAGATCGGTAGAATATCCATCACTTTTCAGTCTTTTGGTATTTTGCTCTTACTCAGCTGCCTTATCTCTCCTTTGCTCTCCCTTATCTCCACGCCTTATTACAAACTTTTGTTAGCAATTTAATGCCCTTGTTTTTGTATCATTTCCGTTGCGTTTTCATCAATATTATCTGTCTTAAGTTTTTGTATGGACAATGGATGGACAATCACAAAAAAGAATATGAATATACTTAGAGTTACTCAACACGCGATGGAAAGAGCAATGTTAGGTATATCACTTAAGAACAAGAAAACTAACACATGGATAAGACAGAAAACCAAAGTCACCGATGTGGTGCAAAAATCATTAAAGTTGAAATGCGAATACGTTGGACATGTAGCTAGGAGCGATCTAAAAAAATGTCACAAATCAATTTTAACCTGGAGACCATACCAACACAAAAGACCCAGAGGCAGACCTCCTATGAGATGGACAGATGATCTGAAAAGGACTGCCGGGAAAAATTGGCTACAAGTAGCGTACAATAAAAAACAATGGAAAGGAAGACTTGAAGAGGCTTATATTCAGATGTGGACGTGAATGGGTAGACAAAGAAGAAGAAGAAGAAGAAGTTTTTGTATAATTTTTTTTTCTGCTATAGTTATTTCGCATAGATTTTGGTATTCTTCATAATGTCCAATTTTTTGGTAGATATTAACGTATGATAAATATTAAGTGGACGCCGATTATTTAGATCTTTACAAAACCTTTCCCTATTTTATTTCAATTTAAAAAAGAATGACTATTAAATAATACACAGGCATTATTAAACTATTATTATTATTAATAAACATTATTAAATAATGTATAATTACAAATATTTAAAATATTAATATTACATGTTATATGTACATTATATTTGGTGTATCAGCTGTATTAGGAATTTCAAAAAATTCCCTTAAAATATACAAACAGAAATCACAAGCAAACTAAAATTACTACATCGACTAGAATAATTATTAAATATTGCATCTGTTAGGTACAAAATAAATAAAGAAAACATTTACACTTATAATAAGTTAATATTGCACTACATAAAAGAATTGTGAAAAATATAGCAAGAAACTTTTTGCAAATCAAAAATTAATAAATATGGTTTATAATTTCAAATTATGTTTATAATTTAATAAGATTATAAGTTAACTCACATCAAGATAAAATGAGTGGCCTAGTGTTAAAATCGCCAAAACGCCATTTTTCCAGTTTATATGTACTCCCCTGGATTCGTCTCATTAATACCTATCGACTGGTAATGCCGTTCAGTATTAAAACAGCCAAAATTTCGCCTTAAAAACATCGCAAAGTTTGCCTTCTGTTTCTAAGTAACCTATGTTTTGGGAGATTTCCGTGTCAAAACAACCAATGTTTTAAAGAGCCAATCACAAGACTTTTTTTCATTTCCCTGATCTGAATATCGTAAACAAGAAACATGGTGATTTACTTTAATCAATGTTTGGTTATTTACAAATTTTTCGCTTTTAGTAGCACATTAATCTAGATTTAAAAACTTTTAAGTTAATACAAAAAAAAAAGAGATATTTCACCTTTGTCAGTAACATCACCTAAATACCGAACAAGAATAAGACAACCTGAAAAATGGATATGTAATATTAAGAAATGTCTCAGGTAAGTGTACTATTTGTAACAGTATGGCTTAAACCTTTATTTGAATTTAAATCCCTTATTTTTAATCCACCAATTTTTCAGATCTAAAAACAGTTTTCTTTTCATTTCAAATACATCGAAAAATTAGATTATCTGAAGGAGGTGAGAAAGCTAATTTAATATGTCAAAAAATAATCCACCAGCTACGAGAAAGGGCATTCTATAATTTACTGAAGGAAGAAAATAGCAAAATAATCACTTTCTTCAGAATCTAATCTTTAACAAAACCTGTCCTTACCAAAAGTGTCAGACCAGCAGGCATATTATAGCAGGCAGCTTTATTCACATAATCTTACTTTAGTTCAGGGATACTCAAAGGCTGTTCTTGAGCCTCAGAACAATCATGTAGCCTCTGCAATTTGTCACCGTTTATGCCAAACAGATATGTCAAAGGTAACTACTGTAAGAAGTGTGTTTTATGGATGTGGAGGTCAAAATAAGAACAGGATTGTACTTACTACCTGACATGGTAATGCAAGGGAGCTCTAGTGAATAAAAAGACACACTATTATCCCTTGTTAGAGGGCACTCATTTATCCCTCCCGATAGGATATTTGGGCTGATTACAAGAGAAATAAAAAACTTAAAGTTGCAGCAAATCCTGCTACATGGATCTACCAAGCGTACTTAGCAAGGTATATGTGCAAATTTTTTCACCGTGGTACTAGCTTAAAAGAGCACCATCTACTGTGATTTCCTCATCGAGCAAAAAGACAGAAGAGGGAATGTAAAGGTAGTGGGGGCAAAAATATTGTTAGACGGGAAGTGCCAGTTTGAGTGGCCACATTAACAAGAAAAGAGAGCCTCTTTCCTTGTTTAAGAAATCAAATTTTTTATATTGAAGTTGTTTAAACAAGGAAAGAGACTCTCTTTCCTTGTTTAATGTGACCACTGAAACTGGCACTTCCCGTCTAACAATATTTTTGCCACCACTACCTTTACATTCCCTCTTCCGTCTTTTTTCTCGATGAGATTCCCTCTGTTGTCCTTTTGCTCGATGGATTTCCTTCATTTAAACTAATTTATTAGATATAAGGTTGAATGCTCGAATAAATGAACTTTGAAAAATTAAAGGCAAATATCGAGAACAATTTTAATAACCAAATCTTGCCCAAGGCTTTTTACAGCATCATCAGGGGCATCTGAAATTAGCCAAGAAACGTTTTTTTTAATGGGGTAAATCATCAGGGGCATCTGAAATAAGCCAAGAAACGATGATTATGCTGTAAAAAAGCGAAAGTACTTGGGCAAGATTTGATTATTAAAATTGTGCTCGGTATTTGCCTTCAATTTTTCAAAGTGAATTTATTAGAGACTGAAAAATAGTTGCCCCTGAGGCATAGACGACCCCAAGTATATTCCAATTGCAATAAGGATTTCTAAAAAAAAATTTTTGAAAACATATTATTTGACTTAATTAATAAAGAAAGATATTCATATTGTGTGTTTTTTTTTATTATATTTTGGTTCAGTTGTTATAAAATATTTTAACTTGCAATAGTTTCTTGCCTCCATGTTGTAAGACATGTAACATAATTTTTGACAAAAATAAATAACTAAAATTCTTAATATCGATATAATTAGTAGACTTTTATATATACTATACTAGCTTAAGAGTGCATTAAAAAACAATTTTTATAAAGAAAAAATCCTTGCTGGGCTCTTATCTTAAGGCATTCGGGAGAAAAAATTGTGGACTCTTCTACAGTCTCTGCTTTTTAGTCTCAGTAAGTACTAAAATATCCATGTTAGCTTTTTGTTCCTGAAATTATGTCTAATGTACGTCATATCTGCTGTTTAACCAATGATCATAATAAACAAATATTTCTCAATATATTGCTTCCATCTATTATGCGACTTATCTAAAGACGAAATTGTCGGTACATTCATATTTATATTTTCTCTTAAATGAATATAACAATCACATACTTTATAAAATATTTGCAAGGTGTGTAAGAAAATAAGGAATGTATTCGCCAACATAACTTTAAAAATATCTCTTTTATTTATAATAATATAGTTATTTGCAATTTAGATAAGAATAATTCATTATGCAATTTTTTCCGGATGACTCAAAATAATAAACTGCTTTTTCCTTCATAAAAACTGTGCCTAAAATAAATCAGTAATAAATAATACAAATATTATGTACATTTTTGATAAAATCTGAACCTAAGATATTTTTTCTTTAAAGCGAATTTAACTAAAACCTGTAACTTGTTTCTTATTTTGTTTTGGAGGTCAGAAAGAAAACATTCCAGACCACGACCTATAAATCGCGAATACAACATTGCATTATACAAATGTATTAGTGCTACATTAGTACTGTATTTTATTTATAATTCTTTATAAATCCACAGATTCATTTCATGTCATGTGTGTCACTTACATTTTTAACTGTACAAAAATCCCTTTGTTATAAATCAAAAGAAGTATTTTATACAAAGGAATTAATAACCTTAAATATTAACCTTATAAGGTAAAAAGTAAACTTCAAATAAAAAGTCTTGGTATAGAACGATATTCATATCCTCGTTGACATTTATACTGATCCATCTAAAGAATTAAAATCCTTTATTACAAGAGTATAACTATAGACCTAGTGAAAAAAACCTAATTAGAGAAGGCTGTGAAATAAAAATGAAGTGTTTTCGGATTTTAGCCTTCTTCTGGTGTCGTACGCTATTCAGCGTGTAGGCACTCATGCTGGTTAGATTACACATAAAGATCCTTCTTCTGAACCATGTGTGTTGTTTGCAACCTGGTCCCCACCGACCTTTAGGTCGGTGGGGATCAGGGTGGGGATCATTTTGCTTATTAAAATGAGCTCTCCTTGAATTCTTACTTTGAATTCAGCTTTTTCAAGTCTTAGTTTAGTTAAATTTACCAAGTGATTTGATATTCTAGCTCTTTCATTACTTTGGACATTTCTCTTCCATTCACAGAGTCGTAGGTTGCTTTGTAGTCTATAAATATGTGATGGGTATTAATTCAATATTCCAGTGTTTTTTCCAGAATTTGTTTCAGGATTGCAATCTGATAATCTAACCTAACCTTACCTATCTACAATTCAATATAGTAATATTTGTAAGAATCAGGTGAAAGAAAAAATGAAAAAAAAAATCTCGAAAAAATCATTTTACAAGAATGTTTTTCCGTGAGGAAACAAAATCATCGCCATTTTCTCAATTTGAAATTATATCTGCCTCTGGTTCAATATAATTTTGTAAACTTAAAGTTTGGTCATTATAACATGTTATATCAAAATTTGGGTCCACGACAGAATCATCATGCTCTACAATAAATTCATACTCAACTCATATTTTTAATAATTTCTTCAATTACATCTGGGTTCAATACTTGTTTCGTCATTTCACGTTTTTACTATATTGTAATCAAACACAACTAAGCGCTATTAAATAAATGATTTCCAGTGGATAAAACCGTCTGCCGAATATTATCATAACAGTACCGAAAATTAAGTAAATGTATTGGCGAAGTACCAAACTGTTCCGCCAGAATTTACGCACAAACTGAACCGACCGAAATAAGCATTAAAACTTCATGTAGTTGTGTTCATAAACGTACACACCAGGTAGAATCATTGCATATTTTGGCCCACATATGAACAACAGTTTGTAAGTAGATACTTATTGTGTACCATTAATTTAACGCACAGTATGGAAATGTTTATGGAAATGTTTGTATGCCATTTTTTAGGCCACAAGTGGCCATTAAAAGTTAAAATTAAGAAAGTATGGTAAAGACACTTTTCTTAGTTAATAAACTAGTCTAATGAAAACCGATATTGGGGTATAATTGTTTTGGTAAACATTAGTTACACAACAAATAAAGCTGAAAAATGAATTGTTTAAGTTTGGTATGAATTCAAAGTATCAAAATTAATTATTTCTTCCTTATTGTACAAATTCTTATGTCACAGATACAATAAGTTAGTTTTTTTCGACAAGTTAAGTGACAACTTTTGTGTTATATATATTTATTTTATAATACTTTGTTCAGTTTAAAATGAAACGATTTGACATGACCTGAAAAACTCCTTTCTTTATCATCATTATGTCATCATAAGGCCACCTAAATCTATAAATTCTAGAATTAAGTCTTGTATAAAAATATACTCAGTCATATTTTAAATATTCCTATTCTGGTCTTCTTCCATCATAGAAGAAACTATATCTGTGGCCTGAGGATATTCCACAGCAACCCTCTCCCAGACCCAGTCTCCATTCAGTGGGATTTCATTTTTAAAATCAAAATTCCACTTCATCCTTTTTTCTTCTGCTTCCTTCTGATCACAACGAAAAGAGGCATCATCTGAATCGTAATCACTGTCTTGATTCTTCTCGTCGAAGTTTAACCTTCTGCGGACGTTTTGTAACCTTTCCGAACCAGGTTGTACTCCATGGTTTTCAAAATGTTCAACGGCGTTCGTCTGGGGAGAATTTTGCGACTGTTTTGAATTTTTCACAGGAGTGTTGGAATCATTGGTTTTGGGATCTGTGTGACGATCCGCCATTAAAAGCCGTGAACCTGAAATTAAAATAACAAAATTAGATAATTTAATTACATTTTTTTATTATTATTTAGTTAAAGATAAAAGATTTAAGTATAATACTGTTTTTTGATCGTGCTTAGCATGTCTTTTTGTTTGTTCATGCGTAGTGCCTAGAAAACCATAATGGCATTTGCAAAAACCCAAAGACACCTTACTGATCATGGCAGTCGGAAACCAAGATCCGGCAGGAGAGGTACACTTGAAGAATATGAGGCCTCTCAGGTCGTCAGCAAGCGAAACCCTCATAATCAGAAGGAATCCAAGAAAAGCATTGGTTTAGAGAAAATAGAAAAAGGACGAATCCTAAGACTGGCCACATGGAACGTGAAGAGTTTATATCAACCAGGTAAGCTGGACAACCTAATAGCTGAAATGGATCGCCTTAAGATAAATATATTCGGTATCAGCGATGTTCAATGGCCGGGGAAAACTAGTCACAGACAAAGGCATGATGTATTACGTTGGTAACAATGATCGAAGACATCGATATGGAGTTGCCATTCTTGTAGACAAAGCGACAAATAAATCAGTAGTTAGTTTTACTCCCTACTCAGAGAGATTGATGATGATTCAATTGCAGACATTCTCTAAAAAGATCAACATTGTCCAAATATATGCACTAACTGCCGACAAAGATGAGACCGAGATGAGAGGTTCTACATGCAATTGAACGAAATCATAAGATGCGAGGAGATGGTAATAATGAATACAAATTTTAAATTACCTAAAAGAAGACTTTATACTTGGAAATCACCTGCGGATTCAGAAGATAACATTGTTCGAAACCAGATAGATTACATTTTAATAAAATATAGATATAAAAACGCTATAAAGTCTTTGAGAACATACCCCGGAGCTGACATAAATTCAGACCATAATCCATTAGTAGGTGTAATGCAGATAAAATTGAAGAAGATCCAAAAACAAATGAATATACCACGGTTTAATGTCTCAAAGATAAAAGAAGAACCTATACGTCAGAGACAAGAGACAAGAGACAAGAAATAAATGATAACTTAAAGAAAAATCAAACAAGACGTGATAAAAACAACAGATATTAATGACAAATGGAACATGGTACAGGAAACTTTAATAACAGCAGGAGAAAAGCTACTGCAGACAAAAATAAAAAAAAAACAGAGATGAGTGATTTCAGAAATTTTAGATCTAATGGTGGAAAGAAGGAAATATAAAGGCAGGAGTAAGGCAAAATACAAGGAACTACAGAGATTGATAGGAAAGAAAATAAAAGAGGCCAAATCCACCTGGCTTGCTAATCAATGCATTGAAATAGAGGCATATGCTAAACAGTATGATAGCTTTAACATGCATAAGAAACTAAAGGAAATGACAAATACACTGAGAAAAAAGAAATATGCCCTTCTGAAAGACGCAAATGGAAAAATTATTATAGAAATTAAAGAGAAATTAAAAAATTGGAAGACATACATAACAGATCTGTTTGAGGATAATCGACAAGAACCGAAAGAAATCGACAGAGAAACGGGGCCAGAGATCATAATGGAGGAAATCAAACAAGCACTACGAAACGCAACAAACGGAAAAACTGTAGGTCCAAACGAAATACCTGCGGAACTACTGAAATGTCTAGACGATGAAACTCTACCTGTACTTCTGAACCTATTTAATGAAGTATATAAAACTAAAAAAAATCCCACAGGAATGGTGTCCACCTTTGTAGCAACACCAAAAACAGTATATGCCAAAGATTGTTCAGACTATAGGAGAATATCACTAATAAACCATACCCTTAAAATATTTCTAAAGGTGAATCATGGAAGATTATATAGAAAACTAGAAGATGATATGGATGACACTCAGTTTGGGTTCCGTAAGGGACTGGGAACGAGAGAGTCATTGTTTGCTTTTAATGTCCTCTCTCAAAGATGCTTAGATATGAACCTAGATATTTATTCCTGTTTCGTCGACTTTGAGAAGGCATTTTACAGGGTCTGACATGAAAAACTAATAGAACTAAATAGAACTAATAGGACTAAAAATAAATTTCTGATAGTCTCAAAAACGCAACATGTAAATGAAAGATTAATAATAGAGCAAACCCAAATAGAAAAAGTAGAGACATACAAATATCTGAGAACCTGGGTTGATGACAAAAATGACCAAAGCAGAGAAATCAAAGTCCGAATTGAAACTGCAAGGCAAGCATGTGTGAAAATAAAGATAATGCTTACCAACAGAGACCTTCAGTTGCATCTCAGATTGAGGGCTCTAAGATGTTACATGTTTTCTATCTTACTATACGGAATGGAAGCTTGGACATTGAAGAAACAACACATAAGAAAAATGGAAGTGTTCGAAATGTGGTGTTACAGAAGAATATTAAAAATTCAGTGGGTTCAAAGGATTACCAACGCTGAGGATTACACATCAACCAAGGAGTTAGAAATTATGAACAGCATAAAAAGAAGAAAACTAGAGTATTTGGGTCACATAACCAGAGGAGAAAAATATGAGCTGCTGAGAATTATTATGCAAGGAAGGATCCAAGGAAGAAGAAGCATAGGAAGAAGACACATCTCCTGGCTGAGGAACCTTAGAGAATGGTTTAACTGTAGTTCACTACAACTTTTAAGAGCAGCAGCCAACAAAGTGACCATAGCCGTTATGATATCCAACCTCCGATAGGAGATGGAACTTTAAGAAGGTGTGTAGTGCCACATCGTTAGTAACTTTTTAAATCCATGGAATTCTCAGCATCGATCTAATTTATGCAATTTCAAAGGCATCTGTGGTGAAAACTGTTCTACTGTCATGTTTAATGCCGCTGCTATGTCTAAGTTTATGCAATATTACCAAAGAAAATCAAGCAATATAGGACATGAGTCATTATCCCCATCACCAACCTGAACGCGTCTACTGCTTGACATAGGTCTCCCGCAGCTTGCATCCAGTTATTGCTAACACGCTTCAGGTCTTCAGTCCATCTAGTTGGTCGGCGTCCTTTGCTGCGTAGTGCTTCTTGTCTTGGCTTTCACTAGACAATACGTTTTTTTCCATTAGTTGTTGTTGTTTGATAATCTAGCGACGTGTTCTGCGTAATTCCATTTTAGCGATGCCATTTTTTGATAAGGTCTGTTATTTTTGTTCTACGTCATATTTCTCCGTTTGGAATTCGGTTTCTCCTTCAAGAGACACAACATATGGCGCTTCATAGCCCACTTATTCAATACATTTTTTGTGAGAGTTAGTGTTTTCGCACCCTAAATGAGTACAGGTAACACACACTGGTCAAACATTTTCCTTTTGAGGCATATGGATAGATCCGATTTGAATTTTATTTTACCACACTAATCTTTGCGGGTAATCTATGAGGCTAATATTATGCGATGTGGGAGCTCACATGTCTGGTTATCTCTGTCCAACTAACTTTCACGTACTAAGTACGTATCATTATCATCACCCAGCTCTTTGTGTCCACAGCTGGGCATAGGCCTTAGGATTCCTCGGTGTTGGTTGTAAGATGACCATTTTTATCTTTAATCTTTATTATCTGCCTTGTCCCCGTTCTTAGTCTTTTTTTAATACTTTCTTACTTTTTTTGTTCTCAATGGTATGTTCGATTTGTTCTTGGTTGTATTTTCGAGTGTCTTCTCTAACAGCTTTGGATATTTCTTTATTTAATTTTTGTATTTCGTCGGCTTTAGTTTCCGTCTCGCTTCTAATTTCTCTTCTTTTCTGCATTGGTTGCCTGGTATTTTGGCTAATCTTTTTTTTTAAGTTCTAGGGCAGAATTTGTTTTGACTTTTCAGTAAAGCATTTGTTAGTTTATTGTTATTATTTATTATTATTACTTATTATTATTATTTAAGTCGTTTATATTAGTTTCTGTTTCAAGACTACCAAGTATATACTTATATGTAAGTTCTCGGATTGGTTACTATTTACGTCTTGTTCAGGAGATGAGTACGACGAAAGAAACCCTAAAAAGAGAGAATACCAAAACCAATGATTTGCTGATTTGCAGCAATCTCGTAGGAGGTTTTAATGAAATTATCCATTATCATCTATCAAATCATTTAATTTTCAAACTCACAAATTAATTTTTGTCCAAAACCACCCAGTATATTACTTCGTATTTAAGAGATTTTTATTATACCTACATACAAATGTAATAAAAATACTTTAGATTATAAAAGAAGATTTATCACAAGACATTTTTGTTAAATACAAACATTTGTACAAAAATGGACGGCAGAATTCTCCTTATATATGAGTCTACAATTAGACATTAAATGAGAAACAGTAACTAAGTATACAATAAACTGCATTAAATATCTTAAAGTACATGCAGCAAAAATTCCGTGTACAGTGGAAATATCTATAGAGCTACTCTTACAACAAACTAGCATATTTATCCCAAGTAGAATTTGTAAAAACTTTTCAAACAAAGCAGATAAATTACAACATAAATCTTCTCTAGGTTATGGATATAATTAAATTGTCAAACATGCATATAAAAATAATAAAAATCATGAATGTGTTGCTTGTGTGAGTCCATATCAAATAGGTAAAGAAATAATAATAAGACTTACTCACAAATCAATTTAATTTAACAATCTGACGACCGGTTTCGCTTTCTACAATTTGCAAAGCATCTTCAGGTCTAGATACAAAGTTAAACTAATGCTGCAATAAAATAAACCCAATTAGGGTGATGTCTAATAAAGATAAAATAAACAAATAAGTTAGTTCATACAAATTATAGTAATTATGCCAATATTACATGTCTGTGGTTTTCAAAATGAATAAATTTGAATATATAAAAGGTATTAACAGACAAGGTAAGACCCACAATTGGTATAAAGTAGTAATATTATATTGTAATAAATTAATAAATGAGCAGATAAATAAAACAAAACAAACATTACTTACATGCCGGTACTCTATTAACTGATGGATGGTAGGTCATGGTTGCAAAAATCATGTATTGTTG